CCCAAAAGAGTGTAATACAATCCACAAACTTCGAGATTTTTCTTTCATTTTCTTCTAACAACTGCCTTAAGAGGCTATTGATGAAACTCTTGAATAAAATTAGCTCTAGCAACAATTCCTACTGCTGCCTTCTCTCTATTCTCAAAAATGATCATCAAACCCTACCCTCCTCCTGAAGTCATCTGGAGGTTTATGTCCTAAGCTGAACTCTTTAAAAGATGAAATTATTCAGTTCATAATTCACCACCTCATATGCAAATTTCATGTCCTCTCATAAGTCATCATGCCACACCTATCCTCACAGCAAGATGTTTGAGCACACTGCTGAAAGAACCATTGAGGCTTGACATAGGCTTGACAAGCTTTGCCCTTGGCTCCATCCCTTTTGTGTAATTTCACATCACCATGGAGAGCACCTGGGAAAGAAGAGATTGTCTAACCTAAGATCAGGAGGCCAAAGGTTGCATGGAGGAATCAGAATCATTATGTCCAGGGTTTATTTATGAGTGTTATCAATTTTGACCTTCTAAGATAAAACTGACTGCAAAAGTCTTCAACTCAGCATTGACTTGCAATACTGCATTTTAAAGCAAAGCTGGTTGGAGGCACAACAGCAGCCCAGTGTTGCCTCTGGAACCAAAAAAAAAAAAAAAAAGAACAAAATACCTCCAAAAAAAGGACAAATTGATGGGATGCCAAACATTCAGAAAAGAAAACTTCATTTCTCACCTGAAAGAAATAATGACAAGAAGGAGCCGTGACAACCAAATTGCAACTCAGAAGAATGCAAGGATTCTGAAGGAAGAGAGAAGAAATACCGCACAGTTTGTCGTGCTGCACTGAAGTCAGGCTTTAAAGCTTGGTGTTCCTGGGACGTTCAGTGCCCCAGGCAATCTCCAATGTCCAAGTCTTTCTGGATGACTGCTGCCAGAGGGGGAGGCTTGGGACACAACAGCTCTACTCTTCTCAATACAAAGCAGGATTTTCCAATTCTGTGCAAGGCTGGTGGCTGACAGCACTGAAATAATACATGCCTGTCATGGGGCAACGTGTGCGCAACCCCCCTTCAGAGTCTTCTTTTTTCTTATTTTTCAGAAAAGACAGAGATGGGAGGTCCTTGGCGTTGCAGAAAAGATGGATTAGATGGAAGAGATCCACTTAGGATCCACCTCTGACTTTATATTTTTAGGCTGAGCTTGGAGGAATGACTTTCACGGCAGCATGAAGCTCTTTGCATGGGAAAAAATAAAGAAGGAAGATTTTACTTGAAAGCACTACATTTCTTTTCTTCTTTTACTCCCCAGAACATTCAATTTATTTCATCATGCAGAGGCTGTTGCAGGTATTGCTTAGGAAAAGAAAAGGGTTCCTTAAGACAGAACACTGATGTGCTCCTTTCTGCCACACATATGAATAATTCACCTTGTTGCAGTCCTACATGCCATCAATAGCTTGAGTTTCTTTAAATAAGCCAGCTCTCTAGGGGCTAGGAGGAAGACTAACAGGAGTGTAGTATGACAAATGATGTTTCTGGATAAAAGGTGGCAGTGCATTTACACATGAACTCTAACAGGATGGTATTTTAGCTAGGAACTTGCATAATATTTCACCGGCACCACACTTGACAAGTTGTCTGTCCATTAGTCGTGGCATAAAGAATTCATAACATATTTATAAGTGTTCCAGCGATACCTAAATAGGGAATCATTTGATTTCAGGGTTGGGCTCAGAACAGATAGGTTTAAAGCTCTGACAGGGTGTGCAGCTTTCTGCTTTCATCCTTGATAATTGCTGGAGCAAAGTGGGGCAGTATATGCTAATGAGAACCATTTCAGAAATGTTTTTCCCTCCAGACAATTGTGATTTTCATAGACAACCTGAATAACATTACACCAGGACCTGAGAAACTCTACTGTAAAAAAAAAAAAAAAAAAGAAGAAGAAGTTAAACATAGCCAAACTGTTGTTAGAAGTGGGTAGGACACCTAGTTCGGATGTCGCCTGCTCCTCTGCCACATCTCCCAGAATTTTGCGGAGTCCCCAGGCTTCAAAAGGGATGAAGTTGTTTCCTTGCAGGCTGCGGTGACTCACTGGAGGCATTGCTGAGCTGACCAGACTCATTCTCAATGTGATAAGAGGTTAGAGATCAGCGGCCAAACCTGTCTAGCAGGCAGCTGCTCAAACTCAGATGAAATAACTGTCTCCCAAACACTTGCTCTGCAGCAGTTTTCTCCAGAGGTTGTGCCAAAGCAGATGTGCAAAGGCAGAAAAGCCTTACAGGAACTTAGCCTTGATCTGTTGTTATGCTGTCCAGCTCCCATCCTGCTATGAGCTGTGGTGTGGCAGACAAGAAAACAAGATACTCAATAACGTGCCATGTGTATGGCAGGATCATTTTTTTCAAGCCTCTCACAATGTGGATGCAAAATCTTCTATTATCTTCTCTTGCTCTTCTCCTTCAAAATGCTTTCATCTCAGATACTAATCTCCCTTTGAGCTTATTAGTAATGTAAAGAAACATTTGACTCCTGTCAATAGCTGGTGGAAAAAAAAAAAAAAAAAAAAGCAGTGTGATGGGCCAGACTCATGCTCTGTGATTCGGTAGCTTTGTCTCTCATTTGGACGGAGAGGCATTTTTACGCAATTAGCACTCCAGCATGGTTCAGTCTCCCTCTCTGTGATCACTGTCCTCAAAGACTGCTTCTCTTCCATCCCGGGAGTCCCAGAAGACTCAACAATCTCACTAACAAACCTCTGTATTGGCCAAGCCCAGGAGGCCCTCATACATCTGCCTGCACAGCTACAACATCTGCCCGGATGGGCACAACACAGCAGGCACCTCTTTGGCTGGTCTTGTGCCATTCAATATATCCTTCCTCATCCTCTCATCTTTCTGATGACTGACTTCAGAAAGAAGGGCCAACTGTATCTGCAGACTTGGTCCCTCTTGGGAGGCCCCCAGAGCTAACAGACTGTGTGCTTGGTGCTGCTGCTCAGCAGGTCAGTCATTTAGGTCTGTCTCATCTACTTCTTTCATTTTCTGGGTAGAGAAGAAATGCCAGTTCAGAATAGAGGAAGGCTTGTTGGTGTATGCTTGGTGCATTTCTACCTCCTCTGAGCACTTGGTACATCTAGGTCAGGATAGCTATCACACACAGTTTGGTTTATTAATACAGTAACACCCAAATGACTTAAGTAAGGTGGGTCACCTGTGGTGCTAAATGCAATACACACATTTAAGAGGGCTCACATGGAACCTTATAGTTGGACATACAGAATAGGAAGAAGGAGAAACTTGGGAAAATGATGCACATATCAGCACAACAAGACACCCTGCTGTCTGAAAAGACATGAGTAGAGAGTCTCCCTTCTCTCCTTGAGATCTGGAAAAGGGAAGGATGAAGTCTATGTCCTCACACCTACAGTTATAGGTAGTTTCCTGGGGGCACATATTTTCCATGGGAAGCTGACCTGAACCTTACATGGTAAACTTTTGAAGAGCTACCCTACATTGAAAAGACTGCTCGAAAAGAGAAACCATTTTTGGTAGGAAACTTTTTTCTCCCTCCTTGTTCTGCCTGTTTTTCTAGCCTTTTTAACTAATCCTTTGGCAGTTATTATAGGTGTCCTGCTGTATTTGGATTGAGAAGAAGGGAGGAATTATTATAGCTGCCTAAATGTCAGGTCAGATGAGTCAATAACAGCATTAGGCAATTAGATGCTTGTTGTGGTCACTCTCCATAAAACTACTGCGGGAGAGAAGCTAAGGTTAAAAAGGCAACATGTAGGCTTTTTTTTTTTTTAATAAGACTTTTCACAGCCACTTCTTAAATGTTGTAGAAGGGAGGGATTTGAGCCAACACCATCACAGGCCTCAGAGAGAAACCTTTTGTCTTTCTGAGAAGATTTTGAATACTGCATTGCTTTTCTCTTTCGCTACCTTAACAATCCAGAGAGAAAAGAGAATAAAAGAAAATCCAGGCTTTTGTGCTGTCCCTGTGCTGAGTTCAGGGTGAGGCATCTGTGTTATTGGAGGTGAAAATAGAAGCTTTAGAACTTGTGATGTCTCATGGGACAAAACTCCAGCAAGAGTGAAACACAAGAAAATAGTTTCCTGATGTCATCTTGGACCTTCAGATTGGAGCTATGCCTTCCCTTCCTACAGATTATTGGGTCTTTTCTAAGCTAGGAGTGTGTGACTAGTGCAGGACAAAGCTTTGGGATCAGCAGCATTATGTACACCCTCCATCCCTATGTACAATGCCAAACAGAAATCTGTGCAATACTTAGGCAGCCAGTTTCAACCAAAAAGATAAAAGTGGTTTTTTGTTTTAGTGTTTTTTTTTTTTTTTAACTTAAACTAGGAATGTATCATTTAAGAAAGAATGAGGTTGATTTCCACAGTGTGACCCATTTGGAAAATAAAATGGGTCTTTGGTGTGAACAATCAATAAAACATAGAAAGAAACTTTGCATTTTGGGTCTAATAAGGTGTTTCCCTTCATCAGAACTGATTTTTGGATTTCATAGTGAAAGGATTCACTGTGGCAAGAAACCCAGAGACTTTTGCTTGTGTGTTTGTTCAAAGAGAGAAATGTGTCATGGTTGAGCTTATATGCAGAATCTCCATCTTTATGCTCAACTCAAATAAAAAGAAAGATGATGTTGGACTGCTATGTAAGACACACTCCACATATGTGGACAAATCCCCCTGACCTTAGAAGGCGTGTAAGCACATGGACCTTCTGCTGCTTGTGACCAACCCTTTGAGGTGTCGCAGGGAAACATTCATCCCTGTTAGGGACAGTGGGAATTTTGTCCTTAGTATTGACAGAGTTGAGACTTTACTCAAAAAGTAATGATCGGTGCTCCTTCGCTGTCCTGGAAAAGGAGAAAGTGATATAACCCATCCTATGCAGGCCAGTACTTGGAAGCAGCATGCTTAATCCCAAGTTTTTCCTCTGCACCAGCCTCCCCCATAGATTACGAATAATATCTGACCTCTAGCTCCTGGAAATCTTCTTCTTCCTCCACATCATAGGAGAGGGTGTGAATCTTGATGTCATCTGCTGAGAGGTCAATGAACTTGCCATCTGGGTACTCCAAGCTGTCTTTGGTGGGGGATCGGTCTTCAATGAAGGTGGTTTCACAGCACTCAGCGTTGATGCTCTCCCCCCATGAACGCAGCACGTTCTCCGAGTAGAGGATGATGTTGGGCCGGTAGTGAGATTCCACGGTCTGCTGCAGCATGTTGGGGTCCAGAAGCTGTTGCACGGGGTCATTCCTTCCATTATCCAGGCAGCTCTGCGAGGAAAGGCTCCCCACTCGGTGGCCTTGGTACTGGGGGGTTGAGTAAACAGAGACCAGACCATCTCGACTCTCTGCTACTAAGTTCCTTGTATTAATCAAACCATTCCTTTTCCCGGCTTCCGCTATCTTATTGTGCATTAGCACAGTGTTCTGCTCAATCAAACCATCCATACTGGGAGGTCTCTGGGTGAATGGGACAGGTCGTCCTTATTTGATGTACCCTAGAAACAGGTCACACTGGAACAGTGGCTCCCATTTTCCTGAAGAAGAAAGGAAATACATACCAAGGTGAGAACACAAGGGCTGAATAATGTATCAGGCCACCCTGGTCAGCTTGTTTTTGGCATCATCTCCTGAAGGAAATCCCCATATATGCACACGCACAGACACACACACAAACACACTCTCATCAAATATATCCCCACTTAGAGAAGTGAAAAGAAAAATAAAAAGAAACACGCATGAACTGGACTGGAACAGATATCAGTGTGTGGTGACAGAGGACTGCCTAAGATGTATTGCAAATAAGAGGATGGTGGGGTGCAGACCTTGCTAGAGGACATCCTCCAACACATAGAACACTGTCTTTTTGGGGACAACCTCCCTTCTTCTGAACACTTAATAGAGAAAGATTTCTTTTTTTTAAGTGATAGAAGGATAAAAAGACCATTTGCAGTTCTCTGAGAGCTGCAATTACAAAAGCCAAGCATCTGATGTCTTCACCCATCAGTTTCTGTGGCTAACGTTCACCCTTGGCAAGGACTTTGCTATCCTTTGAAAACACAGCTGAAGGAAAAAACAAGACCCCAGCTCTTTCTAAATTGACTAAAAAACAAACAAACACACAAACAAACTACCTGAGGGCAAGATCAGATCTGACCCAGAGGAATTAAAACTCTCTGAATGTGGCTTCAAATCCCCAGTACTATTTCTACTCAGGCCTCTGGGGCTGCTGTGTGGCAACATATTTAAGAGATGTGATGGGGCTTGTTGATGATCTCCACTCATATCCACCTAGAAGAAAGGAGTGCACGAGTAGGTCTTGATTGAGTCCTGGGACTAACTCTTTTCTGTCCCACCTGTTTCTCTTTTGTGTGAGTTGCACTGAGCTGTGAGAAATCAAAGGGATAGTTTTAGGGAACTATCAAAGGGATAGGCTAAAACTACTTATTTCTGGCCAAAATAGCTCCTCACCAGGACATCAGTTTTGCTCTCATGAAACCAAATAAAACTGCTTTTTGAAGTGTGGATTTATCTGTCATATCAACAAGGAGCTCAGGATTTTGTTTCTATGCCTTATTCAAATTACAGAAATGCTCCTAGCTTCAGTCATACTTATATTTGATTCTCTGAGGCCAAATCCTTAACTCGAGATTAAAGCTTCTGAAGTACTGCTTGGAACCAGGATTATCTACATATTTATAACTTTACATGTGTGTATGTGAGCATTTATAATATATACATATATATTTTGATATACATACATGTACATATGTTTAGAATTTTTTTTTACTTGCTCTCTAATTTCCCTTTGTATCCAAGATCCTTAGTCTTTGGCAAAGACTAGACAAAGCCTAACTTTGTTTCCTCAAAATAATTCTTGATTTTAAATATCTGTGGGATTTTTTTTCTTTTAAGTCTGCAGGAGATATTTAAACCATTGCTAAGATCTGGCCTTCTGGCCTTACACTGGGAATGAAGAAAGAAGCTTGTGTACTGTAGAAGAAAGCTTATCTGAGTATTTTCCAATGTTTGTATTCACAGCACTTGCTTTACCATGAGGAAAATCCTTTTTATGCTGTTGGCAAACAGTTTGGGGCATGTCCTACAGAAGAACAGAAGACCATGTCTTTCCTCTCTCTCCTTGAGAGAAACAAAGTAAAAGAAAGGCAGAAGCTGAGGAAAATTAATATGGACCGAGCAATCAGAGTAAGCTGCAGACTTTGCTCTGTTCTCCCCTTGCTGTCTTGAAAGATGTGCAAAGGTCCAAGTCCCCCTGGTGTGTAACACACTCTGTTGATCCCACTGAAGTCAGAAAGACATCATCTGAATCTGTAAATTGCCTTTAACTGCCAAGCATGCTTGGCCCTGGCATTTGTCCAACCAAACTGAGGTGGTCAGTAAAAACATCCTTTGGAACAGCTGTAGATGTGGAGTTTGGGATTGGGGATTGGGATGTAGGGATTGGAAGATAGGCAAATCAAACAGGTCCCTTTCCAGGAAGAGGAGATGTCAAGATTTGGTAACTGCACTGATGACTCCAGCAAAGCATGGGTCAGGCCTTCCACCCCGATGTGGTCACATCATCCCAACAATAAAATATTGCCTGTTTTGAATGGCACTCACATAAATGCAATTTTAAGACAGTTTTATCTTAGGTCTTCAAGCTGTGCTCTCAGATTCCCTTCACATGGTCTCTATTCTCTCCTAGCGTCTATATAAAGCTTGGCTCTGAAATTGCAGGTCTCACCCCAGGCATTTCATTGATGGTTATGACGCCTTCATGGAAAATGCTCACTTTGAATGGATGCAAATGATGCTCTACAGACATGGTGATACTCAGACTACCTCCTCGGTGTACACAGGTTGGTATTTCATGTAGCTTTGAGTGGTCATCTTGATTGATTCTGAAAGGGCTGGATTATGAGAAAGTGTAGCTCTAGTCTCCTGGCTCCCTTTAAAGTTGTCTTGAAAGGGGACAGTTCAAAATCATGGGAAATCAAAGATGTCTTCAGTCCTTCTAAAACTCCTCAGGAACAAGATGGGGGAAATAAGTAGAGGCCAGAGTGAAAAATGTTTTAGTATGTCTAATTAACCTARGACTTTAGTAAATCACTGAGATGTTGGTGTGCTCAGGAGGACCACATCAAGCAATCCCTTACTCCTAGATGTTCACCAGCCTAAGTGACACAGGAGCCAACGCCTTTTTTTCCAAAAGCTAGTTGAAAGGTTCAACCATTTGCGAAGGTGATTTGGCTCCAAAGTCTTTGGACAGATAAGATCCTGAAAAAATTCTGAATCTAGACTACTCATGATGGCTTTGGGACTCGAGGGCTTATATCTCTAGCATCCCAAGGCATTAAGGACAACTAGATTGCATAGTCAAGTATCCTCTCTAATCACCCACACCGGTATGGAGTTAACAAGCTCCACAATCTGTCTTCAAGCTATGTGCTCTCCCAGCAATACTTAGGCATAGCTTGGAGTGAAGAAGTGCCATGAATGCTCTTGAGCCTGATCTAAAGCTCTCAGCCTTGCAAGTGTATTGCTTTATGGCAAGGGCTGGTGAGATTCTGATTCCTTTTCATCATAATAACAGCAGAAAATAATAACAACAACAATAATAAATAATAACAACAAAGTAGCATTGATTTTTCTTTTCCAATTGAAATCCCTAAGCAGCTTGACCATTAGGCTTAAATCAATAGCACCTTTATTGCCTGTGCATTTTGATCCATAGCTGAAATGGGATCAGTTGCTCTCCAGAGAAGCTGAGGAATCTTTGAGGTACCCAAAGATTCTTCATCAGTAAGACCACCAGCACCTGCAGATGTCTTCTGGAAGTAATAAGCAGCCTAGAGGATTCTGGCTGGCCACAGGACTGAGAGCATAACCTCTGAGAGACAATCCAAGGCAATTGCAGGAAGCCTTCTCAGATGGGAGCTGAAACTCAAATGCAAAAAGAGAGTCATTCTCACTCCTTCATAAGGACTCACAAGGTTTCAAAATGATGCTGAAGGGAAAAAGAAACCCATTAAAGGTTCAGTCCTTTAAGTAAGAGAACTGTTTGGTCTGTTCCAAAATGGGCAGCTACTCTAACTGGTTTGGTTCAGGTTTTGTTCACCTTGATACCACTTGAATTTCTACCCCAAGAACTGCTTAGTGGGACTCAAAACAACCTGAAATAATTCTGCTATTTCAGCCTTGAGGCTGGAGCAAGAAGGGAAGCCTAAGTGCAAACTACTGACAAATACTAGATCCCATTCCACCTATATTTTTTCTTTGGGTATAAAAGTCAGGTCTCAGATATTAGATGTGGAGTTATTATTCAAATCTTCTCTATTCTCCAATTTCTTTTTTTTTTTTCCTTTCTCTCACTCTCTTTTTTAATAAAAAACTGCAACCAAGTGCCAAGATATCTAGTCTGCACTGCTGTGGTTTATTAAGCTATTGCTTGCGTTACAGCAGAGCATGGATATGGTAGCTGAAATCAGGGCTGCGCTCTGCTGGGTGTTCTGCAGTCTCCAGCTACGGTGACAGCAACTGACAAATTAATTAAGCAAAGAGTGTGAGAGAGAGACATGCAAGCTGTGGAGAGGGCAGGGAGAGAAAAGCTAAATGCCATGCCCCAGGCTCTGGGAGACAAGGACCATAAGCTCTTCTACTACCCATCATTTTGCAAATCCTTGACTCTTCTGCCAAGGATGCTGTTGTCCTCCTACCTCAATGGGGCTTACCTCTTCCCACAAATGTAGCACAGCCCCAGAGTGTCTCATGTCAGGGACCAAAAAGTCTGTATGGACAAGTGGTTCAACTGAACTGAAATACCTTTCCTCACAACAGATAAAAAGAAACGATAATTCAGGCAGTTAAAACCTCAAGGCTCTCACCCGGACACGTCTGACATCGCTGGTCCAAAGACAGGATTTATTTGAAGGGAAGTTTGGAGAGGGAGGCAAGCCGTGGTGAGGCCAAAGGCACAGATCCCCTGCGCTTCCAAGGTTTAGGACTGTACCCCTTGCCTGCAAATCCCTGCAAAATATGCAGAGCATCCCCTGTGAGAAAGGGCTCCAAGAGCTGTTGTTCCCTTGTGTGGACATCTACCCTGGGTATAGGAAGAAATTCCTCCCTCTGAGGACAGTTGAGCACCGGGAAAACCCCAAAATCAGGAATACCCAAGAAGACTATTCCTAGCAGACTCCCCCTTCCCTTACCATGTTTGCAAGAAGACGTTCACTGCCCCTCTACTCTCCTACCAACTCCATGATGCCACCAAACCTAAGGCAGGAAGGGACAAGCATGACCCATTGCAGAGCTGATCCAACAGCAGAAGTCCACGAAGTGTTGTGAGGACCTGGATTTGACTCTTTGTTAAGGCTCTAGATGGAGCTTTGGAGGCATCAGGTCTCCTGCTGCCAGCTCTCAGGTGCAAGGGGTTTTGAATGGATTACACAGTAAGTCTCAACGTGGTTTAAGGTCTTTCAAATGTCTCAAAATTGTACCATCACCATCAGGCCTTTTGCTTGAGAGAAATCA